GCAGGTGGTGGCACAGGCAGGTGATAATGCAGGTGGTGGCACAGGCAGGTGATAATGCAGGTGGTGGCACAGGCAGGTGGTAACGCAGGTGGTGGTGGCACCGGCACGAGCTGAACGCTGCTGACCCCGCAGGCGCCCCACTTCCCAGCCCACTGTCCTGCAAGAGGAGGGTCCTGGCCTCAGCAGGGCGCCGCGGAGGGCCCGCTGCCACGCCCGAGTGCCCCAGCAGCACTAACCTCTGGCTGGCGGCTCTGCCGGGCTCGGGCCGGAGCCGTGTGTGTCTGGGGCCTCCCGGGGAGGCCTCAGCGGGAGGGCGGCTCTTGAGGGCCAGCGGCTGCTCCCGGCCCCTGCCCACCTTCTGGCGGCTGCGCGGCCAAGCCCATGGCTGGCGGGGTGGGAGCCCAGGGCGTCCCAGGCCGAGCAGGGACGCTCTGGCAGGCAGGGGGGACTCGGGAGCCGCACGGCCCCCGCCCCGAGCCACCAGCCTCCCGCGCCTCTTCCCTTCCGGGGTCCCGGGGTCACCCTCTTGCCGGAACTCCATGCCCCCGGGACGCCTCCCGGCCTCCCGCCGCCTGGACCCCCTTAGCTGCGAGGCGGCCTCGCCGGGCTCCGTGTCGGAGCCCAGACTCTCGCTCTGACTGTGCGGCTCCCTCAGCCGGGCCGCCCGACCCAACGGACCCCAGCCCTCGGCAGGTGACCCCCGTGACCCCACCCCGTGTCCCCTGTGAGCACCCGCTGCGCTGTCTCCGCTCTCCCAGGACAACTGACTGCAGGCAGGGGTCCCGCTCACCCCTCCCAGCCCCCCAGGGCCCCTCCTCCAGGACGCCCCCCCTAAACTGAAAAGCCAAGGAGGCCTGCCCATGCGGAGTCTCACCCAACGGGTGTCGAGGGAAAGAAGTCGCACCCCCAAGGGCACCCCGGTTCCATCCCGCAGTGTGAGACAAGTCGGAGGGGTCGGGGCGGTGATGGGGGCTCGGTGGGGCCTGGCGGGAGCCATGGCGTGGGGGGTCAGACCACCACGCTGCACCCGGAGTTCCGGGCATTTGTACATGTAAATGAGAGCTTTAATTATTTTTTAATTAAAAGAAGGAAGTGAGTATGAGACTTGTGTTTTCGATAACATGGCAGATTATACGCCCACAGGTAACCAAACCACAGAAGTTGGGTCTAACAAATGTCCTTCCAAATGCCTAGAGAAGCTGGGAAGGAAGAAGGAAGTGGGGGAGGGAGGGACGATGGAGGGGGAGAGGGGGGTCAGAAATAAATAGGGGCCGGGGGGCCGCGGGAAGACCAGGCCCCGAAGAGGGGCCGATTACGGGAAATCCCAGCGCAGGGAGATGGCGGCGGACATGCAGGGTGTCCGCGGCCAGGCGAGACCTGGAGGGCCTGGGGTGGCCTCGGGCCCAGGGGACGGGCAAGCAACACCTCCGGGGGAGGGTGAGCTCTGGCGGGGGGCCAGACACCCCCAAATCACAAAACTCACCAGTAGGCAAGTCACGGGCGCAGGCGGTGGGAAGGACGGACAGCAGAGCAGCGGATGGCCAGGAGCCGGGCCGCAGTCTGGGGTGCGGCCTGGGTGGGGGGGGAGAGGGGGGGCTGGGGATTTTTGTTTCCCACACCTGGCGCTTTCCGTTGAGCAACAAGCACGTGCCGGCCAGGCGCTGGCTGCATAAGGGGCCCCCCAGATTCTGCTGCTGTGGGTTCCGGGGTCTGACCTTGGGGCGCAAATCAAGCTGCTGTGTTTATGGGGGTCTGACTGTAGGCAAGGCCCTCGACCTTCGGGGAGCCCCTTGGGAGACCGCCAGGGAGGAGGCCCAGCAGCCTGCACAGAGCCTGCGTGCGGAGGTGGTCAGCGAAAAGGCCGCTCCCACGTCCCCCAGCACGAGGCCTGGCCCAGGTGGGCCGCCGGCTGGCCCATGTCCTGCCTGAGCTGAGTCCCCACCCACCTCCTCCCTCCCGCTGGGTCCCCAGCTCGCCCCGGCCTCCCGGAGAGGCTAGCACCCCGACCCACCGAGCATGGTGACAGGCTGTTGAGGGAGCTGACTCCGACCAGAGACGGGGCCCGCGGGCAGGGCCTGCTGCGGCACAGCTCCGAAGCCAGGCTGTGCCAGAGGGGCCCTCCCGGCCAGCGCCCCTTTCCAGAGCCTCCTGGGCCACCGCCAGGAGCCTGCGGCCTTGGCCTCCGGGCCTGGCCCTCCCACTGGCCCTCTCCTCCGCCCTCCTTCCTGACGCTGCTGCAAAACCTCATTCTCCGCGGATTTCCCGCCCTGCCCTGCGGGGTCCTGCCTCCCCTCTCCCGCCGCCTCAGCTTGCCACCGCCAAGCAGCCCCTCAGGGCCTGCAGAGACAGCAGAGTCGGCTTCCGGCAGCTGCTCCGCTCCTGCTCCGTTGACCTGGCCACTGGCTGCGCCGAGCCCCCGTGCGGGCCCCAGAACACAGACCCGGCCAGGGCTGCCCCCCACCGCCCCCCCGCGGCCCAGCTGCCCGGCCTGAGCCTCCTCCGGTCACTGCTGAGGGGCGCCGGCCGCATCCAGGTGGAGTCCGGGCGCAGACGCACCCCGCGCCCAGCTCGAAGGTGCTCGCCCCCACGCGCTCGTGCTAACGCTGCCTGGATGGGGCCTTCGACGTCTCCCCACTCCCCGCTCGAAGCAGCAGAAAGGAGGAGGAAAATCCCCCGCCACTCGGACGCGCCCCCGCTCGCCCGCCTCCGTGTTACGGTTTATGTCAAGGTATGCTGGGTCTAAATTAAATGTCAGCCCACTGCACACCGCTGGCGCCAGCCGCGGAAGAGCCCACCCAGCGCCAGGCTCGCCGTGCCCGCCCGCCCGCAAGAGGTGACAGGCCCATTGAATCGCCGCGCGGGAGCTTTTCATGCCGGGGCAGCCAAGATAAATTTATTTTTAATGATAAATGTGACTGTCAGAGTTAAGTTGAAGCAGGTTTGCGGCCAGGGCCAAGTGCCCTGGACAGTGCCGGGCAGAGGCTGGGTGGACGCACGCCAGAGGCCCTGGCCTCCTGCTCAGCTGGCCCCTCAGGCCCGGGGAGACCGGCCACTGGACCCTCGGGCCATATTTGCGGCTGGCCAAGGTCCTCAGGCTCTCTGGACGCCTCAGACCAGCCCGACCAGGCCTCAGGGGCGAGAGGGAGCCGCCACGCGCGGAGGCCGGGTTCACGCGTGGGCCCGTCGGTGGCTGTGTGCCTCGGCTAGGTGACTTGATCTCTCTGGGCTTCAGTCGCGCCTCTTCTGTGAGACGCCGACTCGAGCGGCCCCCGCGAGGGGAGGGAGGGCTGCGGCCGGGGTGCTCGGTGGTGGGTGCTCGCGACGCGTTTTGTTACAGCGCGTTACCCGTGCTCTGAGTTCCCTTTCTTAGTTTTCTCATCCACGAAGTGGGGCCCGCGATGGCCCCCGCTCGTGAGGGCGGCTGGGAAGCTGCAGGGGTCTCTCGACCACAGCTGGTCAGAGCTGGCAGCCTGGATGGTCGCACCCCAAGTCCCTGGCCACTCTTGCTGAGCCTGTGTGGACACGCCACTCTGCCTTCCCTGGGCACTCCCTGCCGAGGGGGCGCCCTGCATCCAGACCCCCAGCCGTGGTCTCTGTGGACCGCTATCCCGGGCCAGCTGATGCCCTGTGATTGACGAGGCCTGGCTTGGGGAAGCAGAAAGGGTCATAGCCCTTCTCTCTGGAATTGAGTCTAAAATTCCCAGCTGGGAGCGGCCTATTGGGCCATCGCGTGGCCATGGACGGGAGAAGGAGCACAAGGACCAGGTGAGCCAGCGGGATGGGCGGCAGGGGTGTCGGGCAGCCCAACGCCGGGTGGCCTGCAGGGCCCCGTCAAGGTCCTGGCCCCAGAAGGCCCTGCCTTGGGCTAGCTGGGAAGCCTGACGCTGCCCTGGCCAGCTGAGCGGGTTCAGTCCTGGGGCTCTGCGGACACAGCTCTGTCCAGGGGCCGCCAGAGGGCAGGGTGCTGTCGGCTCTGTGCCGTCAGCTGCACCTGCGCTGGCGCAGACCTCAAGGCGGCTGGGGCTCACTCCTGAGGTGTATTCCCACCTCGTTCCCTCTCCGGCCCTCACCCACAAGGGCCGAGAGCAGAGGGTGGCCACTCTCCTCCAGAGCCCAGCATGCCAGGTGCGTGCAGTGTGCAAAGTGCTGAAGAGATGCCCGCAGGCCGTGCCAGAGATGCACCCGGCTGAGCCTTTGGGGTGCTGAGTAGGGGCATCATCGTCGCGGACTGGATGACAGCCCAGCCCGGCAGCGGCCAGCGGCCAGCGTGAAAAGCCACGACCTGCCGCTGAGCAGGTGAGACTGGGGACACGGAACAGCGCCAGGAGGCGCCGCTAGGGGGCCCCGCCTACCTGTCCAGCCGCCCTCTGCGGCTGGCGCTGAGCGCCAGGCTGCTTCCGCTGGCAACAGCACGAGCTGGGTGTGGGGTTCCCCACGCGCTGGCTCTGCCCCTGCAGCGGCCTCCTGGCGGCCCCACGCCCCTGCCCCGAGACGTCTTCCCTGGCCACCCAGAGCACAGAGGAAACCTAGCCACTGCCGGTACCCCTCCACCTTGACCTTGGAGTCTCAGGTCAGCAAAGCTTCTAGGTGACCTTTCGCCTGTGCAAAAAAAAAGCCTGGAATATACATCCAGACTCAAGCTGGAGTCACGAAGCTGAGCCCCACCACATGCCTGCGACCGCCAGGAGGGGAGGGCTGTGATTTCCTGTTCAGTGAGGAAACCGAGGCTGCGGGGACCATAGCTGCCCACGGTACACAGGGAGCTGGACCCGTACCGGGCCCCGGGGCTCTGGCGCGTAGCCTCACGGAAGGCGCCAGGCCTTCTGACAGGGCGCTGTCCACAGGGAAGGGGCGCAGAGAGGCGCAGCTCAGTGTTCAGGCCTCACAGCCGGAGCCCTGCGCTTCCTCCCGGCCCCTCTGCCAGTCCCGGGTGCCACCTGGGGGAGACCCCCTCTAGAAAAGGCACCTGCAGACGGTACTTGTCGCCCCCCTTCAGTGCCATGGGGTCCTCTCCAGCGCCCTGAACGCCCCTGTAGGGGCGAGGTGGGCTGCAGGAAAGGCTGGCGAGCAGCCCCGGGAGGAAGGGGAGGTTGCCACAAACCTCTGGCAGGTGCACCCCGGCTTCTGGGGGGTGGTGGCGGTCTGCTCAGGTGGTGGGGCGCCCGTGCCCCGCCCTGCCTGGTCTCAGCTGTCCAGACCCTGGGCAGGTCCTCTTGCAAACTGGGGGACACTCCTAGATAGCTGGCTACCCGTAGCGTCTCAGAGGGGACTGTCCAGGGATGAGGAAAGGGGACAGACGGGCAGCCGGAGGGGGAGAGACGAAGATGGTGCCAGGGAACAGCGCGGCGGCCAAGGCGCCCTAGGAGCTGGAAAACAGCTTTGG